TCAGACCGACCCACAACGGCAGGCCCAGTTTGGCCAACAATGGCCCAAACCCCACTCAACCCAAGTCGGCTCATCCTTATCCACTGTGATTAGTCAGAACTGACCAAGCAAGGTGGACACTTGAGATGTAGCCTCAATAATGGCCAATGACCGAGTGACACGTGGCGCTTCCTTTTGCTATAATATGGCTCTTTGGGCTCTTTGTTTTGGGGGACAGTTTTTTGGGGGAGGAGAGTGGAGACACTGGAGAGAGAGAGAGGGATATAGAGAGAGAGAGAGAGAGAGAGAGACATTTTCTTTTACCTCTTCAGAAAATTTCTGTATCAAAGCTTGTTATAGTTGAATAATAAGGATTGTAAGATCGATCTTTCTAAAAGCCCAACGAGAGTGATCAATCAGAAGCGAAGGGAGTGGGCTCTTCCAATCTGAGGTTGGTGATTTGTACAACTTTTGATTCTCATATTTTGGATAATAACATCTATAGATCAATTCTGATGTTAATCAAACTTGCCAAGCACCTTCTAATTTATGCGATGAACTACTTATCATCTTGCTTCTGTCATTTATTTCCATTTATACGATTTGTTCGTGCCATCTTAATATAGTATAATTTTTGTTAGAGTGCTCATGATTTTTACTAGTTTACCTTCACTATGAGCTATATGCTTTGTCCAATTTATTATCACCATATTTAAATTCCTTTGTATTTATATAACATAGATAGGAACACTACTGTAGTCATACGTGTATTAAAGTAATAGCAGACCGAAAAACCCAACACAGATATGCAAATCACAACTAAACATCAGAACTTAACCAAACACACACGTTTAGCATATTATCAAACATTCAACACACATATGTTGAGTTTTGCTAGCCGAGAATCCAAAATCAGTTTTAAAACTCTTGATAAGGTATACTAGACCCATATCTAGATATGAAATATTGCAATATTATGACATATTTGAACTTCATAAGACCCTAATCAGCTTTCAAATTAATAAATCACAAAAATCCCAATTAAGCCAATAATAATACAGAACTTTAGTTTAGTTCAGCTTAGCAAATGGCAAGCAGTGGTTGCAATGATTAAAGGCTAGCTTTTGGTTTTTTCTTTTTATGCTACTTTGTTTTTCAGCCTAGTTTCTTTTAGGATGTAAATTAGTGAAATAAGACCACAAACAAGAAAGCAAAATAACAACCATATTTCCTAAAATCCAAATATGTAAAGCATTTTGAATCCCTCACTAATAATCTATATTTGAGATTAAAATTTCGTAACCTAGTTTCGAGATTAAGAGAACCTACCCAGATCTTTTTTTTACCTGCGTCAAAACAGGAGTAGAGGTCAGAATCAAATGAAGGAGTAATTAATTTAGGTAAAATTACAAAAATAAATACCTCACCTGTCGACGTCTCATGCTGTCTCTGCCGCCGGCGGACAGAGAGACGGCGGCGACGCCACCTCGTTTTTTTTCTCGCCCATAACCCCCACCACCAGGGCAAAAAAAAAAAAAAAAAAAGATAAAACCAAAAGAGTCAGAATCAAAATCATCACATCTACCGAAAACCCCTAGTAATCGACACGCAAACCAAAATATTACCAAGATATGTTTTCGTAAAAAAATCTTACCCAGATCTTGTTCTTTTTCTTTTTGCTATCGATCGTCGCCGAGATAAACCCTCCGTCGCTTCGACCTGCCTTTTCTTCTCGATCGTTTGAAACCAAACAAGGGGGGGGGGGAGATCAGAACCTCGTTTTTTTACTAAAAATCAGAACGAAATTCTACATGCAAACAAAAAAACTTACTAGAGGGATAAGATCCCCTCGCCATCGCCTCCGTCCCAAATAGAAATGATATCGAGAGCAGTAGAAGGCGAATCGAGAATCCCACCTCGGTTTCGGCCGATTTCCGGAAAGAAACCAGAAAATAGGAATTAGAACTCTAAAACCCAAAAGTAAAATCTAAAAATAGTAGAAATCAGATATGCAAAACAAAAAAACGAACCTCTAACTTCACCCTCATCGTCGTCGTTGTCCTTGCCGACGACGCATGCCTTAATCGCCGCCGTCAGAACCATCTCCTCTCGTTTTTCTTTCGTCGTTTTCAAAATCAAAGAGAGAAGGAGGTTGGTGGATTCGAGAGAGAGGACAGATAGAGAGAAGGTGAGGAGAAGGGTTTCATTTTGTAGTGTTTGCTAAGAGTTTCTTCTTCTTCCTTCTCGTCTCACGGGAGATAGTGAGAAGAGAGAGAACGAGAAGAAGAACAACAAAAATGAGAGGAATAAGAGAGGGAGGTGGCAAGGGTTTCGTGTGTTTGCTCTCTGGAAGAGAGGAGAGGTGAGGTGAGATGAGATGAGAGAGAGAGACGAGGGGAAGAGAGGAGTTGAGGTTAGGGCTGGGAAACGGTGCGGTCTGGTCCAGACCAGACCATATATACGGTCTATGGTTCAGACCGAGAGGCTAAAGTATAGACCACAGACCAGACCACAGACTATATGGTCTGGTCCAGATCACGCCTGTGCGGTCTGGTTCGGTCTAGTCTGATCCACATTGACCACTCTCAACGAAAAATGAATAATTTGTTTAGTCAACCACACAAAAAATTGAACCAATAAGCAGGAAAAATAATTGTTATTTGCCTTAAATCATTAATCCTAACATGCATGAATAATTTTGATACTCTAAATCTTAGTACATAACAAAGATACAAAGTAAAAGCATCCCAAGCACCATAACGTCATAAACATTAACATAATGTCATATGGAGACACGATTATCTCTACTCTCTGGTTAAATGTGGTTGTGAAGAAGGAGGGACGAGATTCACAAAACTAAGGTTCAGACTTGGGTGTCGTTGTAGGAGTTGGGAGAGTGGTCGAATGGGCTGTTAACACGTATTGACAAGTCAGTTGGGTCCACGGTTTGGTCCGGTAAACCGCGGTCTAGACCATACTAGACCAAGAGATCAAAACATAAGATTATACAGACCATGGACCAGACCAGACCATACTTAACGGTCTACGGTCCGGACCAAACTGTGCGGTACGGTTTGGACCACTGTTTTTCTAACGGTCTGGTCTATTTTCCCCGCCCTAGTTGAGGTGGCCGTTTTTTTTTGTTTGTCTATTAGGGTTTGTTTTTTTAATCTTAAGAGTTGATTTTATATGTACCCCCAAATGACCCCTTTGCCCTTAGGGTTTCGCTAAAATAACGTGGCCATGCCACCGACCTTTTGAGCAATTACGGAATTGCCTTCTCCCCGTCTCTGAAACAAAACGAGACGCAAAAAAATGTTGTTGACGGGGTTTCGAACCCGTGTCCTCGGGAGTGAATGCGCCATGTGCTGACAACTTAGGCAGTTGGGCTGCTGGCCCACCATGCGTATATGTAATTATCTCGTTTAGTTTTATTAGTTCAAAATCTTTAATACGAACTTTCGAATGCGGATTAAGTTTATCCCGTTTCTTTTCTAATACATCAAGTATCTTCCTAACAGCTAAAATTCTTATGTTTCTCTTATCAACCTCGTAATAACTTATTCAAATTTTATTAACAAAACCCTTAATACGAGAATCACGATCAGTGGAACGTGGTTAGAAAATTTATACTTTATTAAGTTTTAACGAACTACGTGGACTTTGATCCCGTATTACGGGTACATAGGAAACCAATAAGGTTCGAGTCCAACTAACTAATAAATTTTATCTTTCAATGAACGCCGGCGGGCGTATAATAAAACCATATATTAATACGATAAAACTCTTTAATGGTCCAGTGGGATCCTATAAATACCAATGATTATTAAAAACACCCCACTCATAGAAACTTATTAACTTAAGTAGTACCGATTTAGGGCGTTGTGGGGGTGTTGCTTAACTTCCTCACACGTAACCGTACTCCCGAACCTAGATTTGTATTTTGCAGACCAAGTCTCAGTTCTGACCCTAAGGTTAGAGCCGACTAAGAGAAATCCAAGTAAGATCGATGGCGACTCCCAAAAATGCCAACGCGGCGACATCGGACTCCCTGAGGGACGGTTGCGACAGGATATTTCGTTGACAAAATGTTTTTATTTTATACTAAACAATTGTCAAAGTAGCTGCTCACTGCATTGCGTGTAACTGGGCAAGGTAGCTTGGTTTTGGTCGTGATTGTAGCTGTTGATAAATTTCTTTTATTATGTAAAAGTTTAAGAACATCTTAGGAATTAGGTAGTGTGTGATGTGGTCGGAAAAATGGTTTCTTTATGGTCAATGATTTATGCTTTGTTAATAGTCTTGCTAGGATGCTTCTATATTTCTCATCACCGATCATGAAAACTAAATAATTTAAATTTTTTTGGGCTAATACCATTACAACACCCAAACTATGACGAAAATGCCACTTGTATCCTTTTTTTTTCAATATGTCATTCATGTCCTGAACTATTATAGTTTGTGTCATTTGTATCCTGCCAATTTTTTTGACCATTAAAGATAACAGTTGACCAAACGATGGTCAACTTAACATTGACTTTTGCTGACGTGGCAATGCCAAGTCATTGACACCTCACATTTTTAATTTAAATTAAATAAAACTTTGAAAATTAAAAATTGGAAAAAAATTAACTTCAAGAATATTACTAAATAATATTCTAAAACCCAAAATTCAAAAAAAAAAATCTACATTGATTTGGTCGATCGTCTCTCTCCTCTTTGCGACGGATTTGAGGACGAGCGAGGCTGGGTCCTTGAGGGAGAGGGCGGCGGCGGATTCAGCCTCAGCGAGGGCCTGTTTGGCTAGGGATTGGGACTGGGAGAAGTTCTTTGCGGCGGCGGATCTGGCTCGGTCGAGGAGTTCTTTGCGGCAGCGGATCTTTGCAGTAGTGGGAGTCGTCCGACAAGCAGGGGAGCAACACCACCACCTCCTCAGAGATCCCAAATCAGTAGCAAACCCCCTTGCATCTCCGTCCTTCTACTCCCAGCGATTCACCCTTCATCGACAGCAAATCCAATCCCTAGAAATTGCGATTCTCAACCCGCCGGCCACATCTCCCTTCCCGTTTCCAACCCTTGGGAGAAGAGAAATTGAAGGTGGTCGAGGAAGCTCCCAACTCTCGCTCGTTCACATCTCTAGCTCCGCCGCCGCCAAAGGTAGAAATTGAAACTTCCTCTTCCGCCGCTCGCACAGCTCCGAAAACACAGAGAACTGAAAACGACGGCCGCATCCTCTTCCTCATCGGAGAATGCGTCGACTTGGGGGATTTCGTAGCTCTAAGACGACAGAAGATGCCGGCGAAAGCAGTATGCCGGGAGGACTGAGTTTGTGGTCGCAACCGAGAAACTCTTTGCCGTTTGAGGGGGGGGGGGTTGAAGATGACGAGCGATGGAGAAATCGGGGGTGGGGATGAGGACGAGATGAGAGATAAATAAATTAGGTTTTTATTTTATTTTAATTATATTGTTAAGTGATAGGATAAAATAAATAAAAAGTAAATTTAAAATTCCACGTCATTTTCCACATCAACGCTGACTAGACAATCTGTTAAATTTTAACGGTCAACGTCAGTCAACACTAACAGAGTAATAGTTCAGGACACAGATGGAATATTGAAAAGAATAGGATTAAGTGGCATTTTCGTCATAGTTCGGGTGTTGTAGTGGTATTAGCCCAATTGTTTTTAGCTACGACTCCTATAATTCATATGGTAAAAACCGTTTTCACCCTTTCATTTATTACGTTAATGATTATTCTGTTAACAATGAGTATGTATGTGTGAGTGTAACTTTAGCGTGATAGTCCTAAAAATGCACCACCTCTCGCCGCAGAGCACAGACTATTGATTAGTTATTATTATTATCATCATCATCATCATCATTATCATCTCTATAAAAGAACAAGTAACAAAATTATTGATCCTTATTGTCCCATCAAAGAGGTACTTTTTTGGTAATTTTTTTCCATCTAACATGTGACCCTTTGTAATCTATATCTATATCTATACTATATATTCTGGCAATTCAAAAGCAATCTCTTGCCACAGAAGCAATCTTCCTGCTTCTATTCCTCATGGAATTTGCAATCACACTCCCCCACCAATTACGTCGGGTTCTTTCCTCGTTCATTTTGATGGCGTGACAAAAACCACTATTGGGGGAGGAGTTGGACTCGTTGGTTTTCCAAGACCAGCTGATATATTCACTTTGTATTTGGGAAATTTTATGACTGTATGGATGACGCATTCAACATTGAGCTCATGGCCCTCCGGGATGCTCTCCGGTGGTGTTTTTCTAAATTGATCTCTAATGTCTCATTCTGTGGTGACGCGCAAGTGTCATTCAAATGATTAATCATAAGGATTCAAGCCATATTTTCGGTGGTAGCCTCCTTTTAGAGATTCAGGTGCTTTGAGTCTCCATGTAACGCGCATCGTTCCACTTTGCTCCGCGTAAGTACAATATGGCTACCCATATCGTGGCAAAACAAGCCCACTCATCGTTGGATCGTCGGTTGGTCGACTAGCGACTCTTCCTTATTTCTTATTTGTAATTGACATGTAAAGGTCCTTCTATTATGTTGTATCTGTTGTATTTCCTTTCGGGATATTTTTGAGGAAAAAAAGAGAGGGGAATTTGGTCATCTTCAACCCTCTTTAATGGTCAATTCACAAAATTCTAGATGGATTGGTACGTTGGTTACGTTTCAATAATATAAGGGCACATTTGTACTCCAACAAAAATAGTAGAGAGTTATGTTTGTTAACTTGTAATAGTAGAGAGAGTATAAAATTATATTAATCTTATATTCTAACTTTCTCAAAAATATGCTTATATATGATACAAATGTGCTTTTGGATACCAACATTTAGTAAAGTAGTTGTAACAAGAGACCGGTATCTACATATGTGTTGCATAATCCAACTCGTACTCAACTCAAAAGAGGCGGGTTCCACTAAATAAACTCATTACTCAACCTTAAACCATAGTTCTAGTTATAAGTATGACTCAGTTGGTCGGAATCGATGGTATTTGGAGTTTGTCATTGTTTTTGTTCATCCCAGCGTTAACTCTGTTTCTCAAAATTCTTTACACGACCAAGGAAAAAGAAAATTATTCATGAAAAAAAAGTGAAAACTCGTCCATCTCTCCACGAGCCCACATGAATACAAGAAAGACAGTCTAATTTCCTGTAATCTATTCTCATTCTATAGGAACTAAATATGTGACTACCCATCTCTTCTTCAAGAAGTTTGTTCCAGTTTATGACATCATTGAGGAATTGAAGAATTATATGCATGAAGAGATCCAAAGGATGGCAGAAAAGGTAGAGGAAAAGGTACAGAAGTATTGGTTTGAGATGCGTGTTATGAATGAGGAGAATATAAAAGTGAATCACTTTATTTATATAGCAAGTGTGCTTGATCCTAGAAGTAAACTTGATCTAGTGTCCGAGGTGTTGGAAATGATTTATGGACGTATGAAGGGAGGAGAAATTCAGAGTTATATTGAAAGGGAGATGCGCCAGATGTTTGAGGTTTATAAGGGGAAGTATGGATCAGGGTTTGCATCTAGCCGCCCACTGAGGATAGCATTTTTTATGGTAGTTCTGGTGAAGGTGCTGGTGATCGGATTAAGAAGTTAGAGGAGAGGCTTAGGAAGAGGAAAAGGGAAGCACTTCTGCTGGAAACAGGAGGTAGCTCTGCTGAGCTTGACATCTATTCGAAATGTCAAACCGATGGTATTAATGAAGAGAGTGATGATACAATGTACGACATCTTGGATTGGTGGTCTCGACACTCTGAAATATATATGATTCTTGCTGAGATGGCTAAGGATATCCTAGTTGTTCCCATCTCTTCTATTGCCTCGGAGGCAACATTCAGCTGTGGCGGGCGGATTCTCAATCCATTCAGGTCCTCTTTGAGCGACCTAATGGTGGTGGCATTGATTTGTGCTGAGGATTGGATAAGGTATCCAAATGCCTGATCCAGGGAGATTGACGATAAGGAAGATGATGAAGAGAATTTGACTTTGGAAAGTAGTGAGTTCTAAAACTCTCTTATTGTTCAGTTTTTCACTATTACATCCCCCTTATTCAATGTATGAATTTCCTAACACTTTGTTTTCCTTTTTTTCTTACTCAGTTAATGCCACTTTTCAGACTAGAATGGAAAGTGCAACAAATACTGGCAATGTTGGCAATGCAGATGCAAGCCTCAACAGTCCAGTGGAGAATGAGCAGGAGGGTGAAGAAGTACCGGAGGAAGAGTATGAGAAAGATGGATATGATGATTTTGGTCATGACTTATTGCCCCGATTGAAAGAACAGGGTTATGCAGATGTTGGTTCTTCTAAGGCTGCTGATAAGTGATGAATGTTGATGATGTGTTGTTGATTTGTGGTTGACTTGTTGCTATTTGGAGGATCTATTATGATTGGTGGAGTTTATATTGTTGAATTAATGAATTTGAGACATTAATTTGCTAATTTAGATGTATTTTCTATGCAAAAGGAATTGAAATGTAGGTTTGAGCTTTTAATTTTAGGTAATTTTTTTTTTGCAGGTCGGTCGGTTAGGCGTTTAAATTCGAATCGACCTCCATTTTGTGGTTGCGCGGTTAAACCAAACTAAAACCGGAAACCGGTCTGTCTACGGCTAACCGAGGCTCCACGAAGGTCGGTGGTCAGAAGCTGCAGTCAGTGTCTCGGTTTAACCGATTACCAAAAAATTGATTTTCGGTTACAACCTAATGGCCCTAATCCCTTGTCCTTGGACTCTTTCTATTTTGCTATTGTTACTAGTAATATATATTCAGCCTTATAAAAGAAAAATTAATTACAATTCCTGAAATTAGAAATGTAAGATACAAGTTCCAACATCAATGAACACAAGGGCTCTTGTAACTCTATAAGTAGCAGTACACTTTGTCCATCACTACTTTCTTCTTCTTAACTCCCATTTATCCCTTCCTCAAAGTCGCCCTAAAAGACGACATAGGTCCTCTTCTTAGTAAACGATCACCAGACAAGAAGATTGTAAATTCGTCATCATCACTATCATCACGAATACAATAATCACCATAATAATAAATAAAAGAATCATAATGATAATCAGCTTCTTCCTAGCGACGGATGAAGTTGTCGTCGTCAATCGTCATCATCATCGGTTTCGTCAGTATCCTCTAGTAAGTATTCCTCGTCAACTTCTCTGTCATGGTTGTCGAAGATACTGTTGTAGTTGTAGAAAATAATGCCGTCGTCGGTTCCCAATATGTATTCATCGTCACTATAGTTATAATTCCGACGCCTATAATGAAAAGGTCTGAATCTGGTGTTAGTGCGGTCAACAAAATAATCATCACCATAATCAATGACTTCTTCCTTGTCGCCATCCTCGTCATCTGCGTCCCCAATGGCCCCATCCTCTTGAAATAATACTAGAACGGAGCCCGCGCTTCGTGGTGGGGATTTACATTGGTTGTATTAAAAGTGTTTTTTAGGGTGAAGTGTGTGTTTCAGTATTACAAAACATTCTAGTGATAAGAAACATGACCATCCAGCAACTGATAGTGTACCCCAAGTAATTTGGTCTTTCATAGCTTGTTGCAAAACCTGTATATTGTAGCATTTCAGTTTAGAGAATCAAGTAACAAGCGGAACAACCAAACAATCGAAAGTAGGCATAAATGGGGAGCAATTACCCTTGTTGGTAAGCACAATAAGTTATGGTGCTTCACCATATCCATATTTAAACACAGTAACACAGTCAATTGAGATCGTGGAAAAATAGTCATTGTATTGTTGAACTAATTACAAATTCACATATGTTTATTTGATTAGATAAATTATAAATCCTTGGCATATACAAAACATGATATTTTTTATGTTAATCAAATGATATCCTGTAACGTCAGATTCATGATGCTTCTAGTTCAAACAAAGTTCAATTAGTTAATGCATTTGTTGTGGTTAGAACCATTCTTAATAATAATAATAATAATTAAACTTATGGTTAACTAGTTTTTTACCCGGCCCGTTGGCTGGAGAGAGTTATTTTATAATTTATATCAATTAACTTATGTATATGTTTCAATCATTTTGGATCTTCTAAATATTTTGTGGTGATTCATAACCAAATTGTAGTATGTCTACATTGTAAATTTCCAATATATAGCACACTCACTTCTGATTATTCGGTTTTCTAATAATAAATTTTGTCGTTGTCACGTCCCATTTATAA